CCCTCTCGAAATTTTATATAATTCACTGTTCAAATTAATTTAGAAATAGTGAATTTCCGAAATATTCATCGAATAATTCCCCCAAAAAAAATTTCCCAAAAAATTTCCCAAAAAATTTTCCAAAAAATTTCCCAAGGAATAATCCAAAAAGATTTCATAAAAATTCCTCAAACCCCTAAATTCCCTGAAACGATCACACGACGACGTCCATTTTTCCAAACCAAACACCAACACCACAATCCCCGAATTACCATCAACTTGGCAACTGTCGAATTTCCATTTTCTCCTCCAAAAACTCGACAAAGTGTGACGGCTTTATGACTAAGAAAAGGAATACCTCTGGGTCTCTATTTCTAGCCCTCACGTGCAAAAACGATTTATCCACAGCATATTAAACTCGCATAATAATCCCCACATGTACCTACCCCCCTCCCTCACTCCTCCCCAGTATTAAATTTCGCCAATTTCCCCCTCCCCCATCCAGCCCGACAAATTGCAATTGCACCAAAAATGCATCCAACGAATCATCAAAACCTAAAAAAAGAATCTTCAAAAGATTCTCACAATTTCTAATTCCGTCGTCTTGTATCTCCCGTCAGCTCATCTCATCTCGTAATCTCGTCATCACCTCGGTGTTTTCTTAATAAATGCCCCCCCCCCTGCCCCCCTGTCCACCTCCCACCGTCCCCCGTCGTCCGTCAAAAAATAAAACATGAGAATAACCCGGAGCTCTGAATTTCCAGTCGACCACTCATCAAAGAGATCGATTTGACCCAATTTACCGAAAAGATACAGCGGCTGGTGAAAAAAAATTTCAATTTAACAAAAAAGAAATCAAAAATCCGCCCCTGGGCTCTTCTACTCCTCCTCCCCCCGGAAGATGGGCTTTTCCGGATGCTACGTCACTGCCAGGGGGAGGGCTTGGGAGGGAAAGAGGACCGTCATATCTGGTTTCTAAAAGAGGGAGTGAGGGTGGGTTTGGGAGGCAGAGAACAGCGCAACGTTCCCTTTCCTGAGAAATCGTCGGGTTCAGTCGGCTCTCGGCCGCCAACATCGTCAATACTGACGGATCGGCCGGGCAATCCTGACAATTCCATTGTTCAATTAATGTGTCGCGATATTTCCTCATCAATTGATGATCAGGAAACAGACGAAAGTATAAACTGCCTCTTCCTTCATCTTCCACTTCGTGTTGTTTCGTATAGATTAATTAACGGTTCATTACCAGTTATTGATCGGTCATTGATCAGTCAATTGTCAGTTAATTAGAAGTCGGACAATTGTGACAATGATGACGTGGAGAGTGCGGGAAGTTCTTCTGTTGTAACTGTGCGATATCCTGACATTTTCTATTCCAATTGTGAGTTTCAGTGGCAAATATCGAGTTTTAAAATTTTTTTTTAAATAATCGTTTGTGAAAATTTTTGTTGGAGAATTTTGAGAGAGAAATCCTCGATTTTTATTCTTTGGGAGTTTATTGAGAGGGAAATTCGGTGTCATTGATGTTTGAGGGTGGAAATTGATAAAAATAGAATGGATATCTCGGTGGTGATGGACGATGGCCTTTCAAAGTTGGAGAGATGGAAAAGTTAAAGCTGTTTGTTTATTCTGATTGAGTTTTCCGAGTTGGGTAAATAAGGGTATATCCCGGTGGTTGCAATCATGCTGGATAATAATATTGGACCAACGATTAGAGCGAGGCCCGTTAGGTGGAGAGAAAGGAGTTGAGAGGGTGCAATGGATGGGAGGGAAAATAGTGTGGGGGTGAGGGTAAACGAGAGTGGTTGAGGGGTGGCGGTTCGATCGCTACCTTCGGCTCTTGAGTGAGAGAAAAACGAGTTTTCACGGAGATGGAATATTATAATCCAATTAATTTTTTATCTCTCCATCTTTTACGAGGAATAACCATCTATTTTTTGAGTGTAATCTCGGCATCTGCACCTTCGCGAATTCTCTGTTCCAAATTCTATTACCCAAGAGGATTTCTCTCATCTCCAACCATCTTCACCCTCTTCAGCCTCTTAACCCCTTGAACCCCCATCAGCTCTCCATTTCAGAAAACTAAAACCGATCCGCAATCGCGTAAACAATTACAAACCGCCGAGTTTATCCAAGTGACTTGAGTGAATCACCTCGACTCGATCAATCGACAATCAGATTTCGCGAAATCACCAAGTGTCAGTGAAAAAATCCTCAAAAGACCCTGATATGCCTGAATCCCTTCAAGAGACACCAGAAATAAACACTGGACTGTCATCCACCAACAGAGAAACGACGCGGGTGATATCCGTCGATAAAGCCGCTGCCTGCATCACCAGCCGAGTTGTTTAACAACAAAGGACTGGTATCGGGACGAGGCACGACCTTGAGAATGCCAGAAGCAAGTATTTAAGAGGAGTTTAAGCCCTGGGGGTGATTCCAAGCTGCTGATGACACCATTTCCATCATCCTATCTTGGCAGCCTGAATTCTCACTGGAATGCATGGCAGCGCGACGATGAGATGAGCCCTTGAAGCTCCATCGTAACCGATAAGACCCTGAATGTGTAAAATATTCAATACTTATCGCTGACAAATCCAGTCAATGTTTCGACGTTGAGTTTTGATTGGGTGTCGAGGTGGGGGGCGCGTGGTCTTGCTGCCTGCCGTGCGCCGGCGGCGGCGGGCGTGGGCCACCCGGTGCGGCCACTGGTGTAAAAACGTGTCCAGGTGGTAGTGTTACTAATAAAAAATCATTATCCGTATTACAAGTTTGTAATCAGAATCAGCGGCGTCGTCAATACAAGGGTGTACAGTCGAGTGATAAGAGGAGTGTTGAGGACGGCAGTAATCACTGCAAATACGACGACGATGATGATGATGATGATGACAGTGATGGAAGGGATAATGTGGGTGAAGTAATCACTGGGTGTTTCACTGGTAAAGGCAATCAGGAGGATTGCAATAAGGACGGTGGTACACAGCATCGTCTGAGTCCACGATTGCACGATATCGAGGAGGAGGACGATGAGGAGAGTCGACACACCAGAGAGAGGTAATTATTTACAGGGGATTATTATTGCTTTGTTCAATCAGTGCTTCAGTTTGGTTGGGGGGGTGGGTGATGGGGGGTTATCAATGGGAAAATTATGGGGATCTGTTCGAGTGGGTGGAGGGTGCCAGAAGAATGGAATCTTAGATCCAATCATTGCTCGGTCGCTTTGTTTGGGGATTTCTTTGGATGGTGGAGCACTCTAATTTTAGCACAATGGGGATGTGGGTTGGGTGGGGTGGCGAGGGGGAAAATGGAGGATTGAATCGGGCAATTGTTGCAGGACGTATCAGAAGAAATCACCGACGCCAAGTACTGGCGGTACCGGTAGTAGAACGGGGTGGCGTTCGCGCAGGAGCGTCACCACGTCGGGTGCAACGGGTCATCAGCATCACGTGATCGCAAGTGCGGCAGCCACGGCTCAGGCGAAGATGCAGGCCGAACAGGGCAGCATCGGTGAGCTGAGGGGCTACCACAATCTGCGATCCCGGCGTCACACCCTTGCCAATGTTCGGTGAGTTTGTTATTGAGATAATCGAGGAAGGAATTTGTGATCAGGGGGAAATAAATTGCATTGGAATTTATGTGGTTTTGTGGCTTTCGTGTTTTGGGGGTTGGGGGGGGGAGCACTGATAACGGTGATTGGGGGATGTGGGGATATGAGGGCATACAACAGAGGAATTCGCGGTTCCAGGGCACCCGAAAATCGATTTTTTTGAAGAATCTTTCGGTTTTTTAAACTTGGAACCAGAATTTTTTTGGACTAGTTCAGAAGTGGATTAGATTAAATCTTGTGTTATTGTTTTTTTTATCTCTTCATTTTTTTCTTCACGTTTTTACTTCGAGAGGAAAATCCTTGGAGGATCAACAAGTCACTAGATTCAAGTGACGAGTGACTCTTGGTTCAAGGAATTATCAACACTTGTTTACATTTCATAACGAAAGTTTTTAAATCGAAAGTGGAAATACTTTTGAAGAAAGCCTATCCTAATAATTAAATCTACATAAATTAGTAAAAATTTATGTTTTGGAAAAAATGGCTGGAATAAATGAGAGAGACTCTCACTCTCGATCGTTCAATCGTGAAATTGCTATTTAATGGAAACAAGTGATTATTCACTTGAATTACTCTTTTTTCTCTTCAGTCTATGGCGCGTCGAATATTTAATGATGATTCAACCACAAAGTGGCGGCTCATTTTTCTACTCGGTCGATGTCTTCTCAAGTGTTTTGTATTCCTCGGGAAAATATATTATCTATTGAAAATTTCTGAGTGATATATGCATAAAATTATCGTGGAGGATGATACGGAACAATCGGGCGTCTCTCCCTCCTCCAGGGAAAAGGCTATTTATCCGAAGAAAATAAATGTGAAAGGTCGAATGAACGAGCAGTTATGTATCTAGAAAGTTCTGCTATTATTTCAAGGCTGCAGCCATGAAAATATTCGTCTCAATTCCCAAAGGTGAATCCCGGAAATTTCCAGTCGCTTCTCATTTCCCCCCGAATTTTCCGTAAATGTTCTCATGGAAAAATCAAAATCAAAATCAAATATTTTATTATGATCCACAGATAATTCGAAAATTAATTAAAAAATGGATTTTATAATTATTTATCGCGCATTTGTTTTATCGCAATTTTATTATTTGTTGAAAAATCCGGAAAATTCAGGGAAAAATTAGAATTTCATGCTATTTCCGTCAGGAATTCAATTGAATCATGAAATTCACAATTTGATTTTTAACTCTCATTATTTATTAATTTTTTTTCCCGGGGTATTTTCCCCCTAAATTTCATTCGGCGCATCAAAAAAAAAAAAATGAAAATTCGATCGGCTCTAAAAATGAATAAAAAATCGTATTTCATAATTATTTATTACGTATTGATTTTATTGCTACTTTATTATTTATTGAAAATCCGGAAAATTGAGGGAAAATTTGAAATTACATGCAATTTTCATTCGGAATTCAATTAAATCACGAAATTTCCGTGGTCTTCCGCTAAAAATTCACAATTTCACTTTTGACCCTCATTATTTATCAACTTTATCTCCCGTGAAAATTTTCACCCTAAATTCCACTCGCGCATCGAAAAAGCCATAATAATTCGATCGACTCCGAACAACCGATGGAAATCAGTACCGGAATTTATTCTCAACCTCAAAGCCATTCCATAGAGAGAACTATTCAATAAAATTTGCCCCACGGTAAATGAATTCCAGAATCCTTACCAAAAAATTAAATAAAAAAAAGCCATAATATTCCGCGCAATTTTCCACTTGAATTTCCGTTTTAAGAAAATGATCCTCAAGCCCTTGACAAAAATGGGGGGTAAATTTAGTGAAATCTCTCGGATATTTATCGTCTAGATCTGTAGATTTTCGCCATGACTCCGTAGTCCCTCGTCTCCACAGTCGGTCGGACCGATTCAATAGGATTTTCAGTACTTGTCGAACTGACAGACGCACAAGGATCGCATTCGCATGGATCACAGACATCACCACTCGTCTCAGACGGTACATCCGGTACTTCGTTGATTCTCCGTACATTCGTCTGAATCTGAATGGACTCGACAGTTGCACTCGATACCGCCTTTGTACCAGTGGTTTTCCTTTGCTCTCGCCTTTCCGTTGGAATTTTTGTTACAGCTTCCCTGGATTCCTGGTATTCTTTTCTCGTCATTCTCTGAAGTTTAGAAATATTCAAAATGTGTGAATTCTTCAGCATTTTATTGAAATAACTCGCAAGTGGAATAGTAAAAGAAAATTCAGAGAATGCTGAAGAAAAATGAGGGAATATACACTGGGGGATAAATTTTACTTCCTTCATCAAACCGGAACTTATCGTTGCAATTTTAATTCAGGGTCTCGTATTTCCCAATATTACAGCCACTAATGGAGTTGGAACTCATAATCACGTTGATTTAGGGAAAATTTACCCGCTACTCCGTTAATTATTTAACATCTGCACTCGTTTTGTTTGTAGTTATTGTTTACGGGGGGATATTCGCTGATGGAGTTGATTTAAAGGGAGAGAATTTTGGAGTTTTCGATTTCAATGAAAATTCAATGAAATTGCACATCATACGCTAGAGAGATTAGAATTTTCCGGTTCACTTGAATTTTTAATGCTCACATGAATATTCACCGCTAGATTATACTTCATCTTTAATTATTCGGAAACTCCGCGATATATTTTCTCTTTCCTTGATTATTATCAATTTTTATGGAATAATAATTATTAAATGAAATTCACTCATTCCAGTCATTTATTTATTCATTCAGAATTCATTAATTTCTCCCGCGGATAATAATTATATATCAATATTTTCTTTTATTTATAATTAAACATTTTCTTAATGGAAAAAATTATATATGAAGATTGAATATATGATTGATTTTTTTTATGTACGCCAGTACATGATTTTCGTTGAAATGCAATTTCTGTGAAATTTTCTGAAATCCCTTTGAATCAATTATTCCAAGGACTCACACGGTATCAGCAATCAGAGTATCACCAATCAGTACATTCAACAGAGAATAGCCCCTCGATTATTTACCTACAGAACAACGAGAAATATCGGATTACACCGAGTATTTGAATCGCCAGTACCGTGGTACGGTGAGATGTCGACTGCTGTCGACTTCTCTCGACTGACAACACAGTCAACATCTCTAATAGACCAGTCATCATCGAATTTCAATTCAATTTACCCCAACAGCGGTATCAAGATAAACTTACCGGCCACCTACGTAATGCGTGACAGATACAAGACGAAAGTTGAGCAGTAACTGGACATTTATATCCCCCATCGACTCTTCCCCTCGAATCATCAGCACCACAGAGAACACCACCGGGCACTAAATCCCCTCTCGATCTTGGTATTTCCCTCTGAAGTTGACCCCTCTCGTCAGCCAAAGTAGCTTCCCTCTCCGGAATTCCCGCAACAGCCACAGGTCCTTCCCTTTCGAAATTGTCTTCGTCCACTCTCCCCTCATCCCGAATCCTTCCTTCTGCTTCATCAGTTCTAACAGCTGGACCTGGTCTTCCTTCATCAATCATTTCTCCCGCAATTCTCTGAGCTTCCCTCTCCTCTGCTATTTCTCTGTCCTCCCTTCTCGCCAGCGCTTCATCATCATTAATTACATTTTGGTCTTGAATAACTTCCTCTTGTCCAGGAATGACCACGAGTTCGTTCTCATCAGCTTCTTTTCTCTCCCTATCCGGAACGTTAACCTGTATTTCAATCTGCGGTACACTTCCTGCGTCAATAGCCTCTGCAGATTTCAATCGCATTCTCATATCCGATCGACTTCGATCGCTCGGGGTTTCATCTGCATCTCTCGAAGCAACAGCATCAATCCTCGCAGGATGAATGGCTTCACTGGGTTTGCTCACTTCTGTTCTCGAATCAATTAGCTCGTCGGCTTTCTCCTGAGGACCACTTTTCTCCACGACTTCAGACCCTGTGACCGGTATTGTCTGCATCACTTGTGGAATCCGAACTTCGGAAGATGATGGCTGTATCACACCAGATGATAACACTCCACTCATCTGTGCAGTGGAGGGCTCCACAGACGCAGCAGTTGCCAAAGCTGAAGACTTCTCTGAAGGACCACCAATCAGGCCCCCTGGTTCCACGATTATCGGTATTCCAGCCGAAGGAGATGGCTGCATCAAAGCCTGCTCTATCCTAGCCTCAGAAATCCCACCATGTGACAACGCATCACTCGTTTGTACAATGGAAGGCTCCACTGACGCTGCCATTGCCAAAGCCGATGGCTTTCTGGAAAACACACCAACCGAGCGCCTGGGTATTACAGAACCCGACATTGGCCCAGGTGACATCAAAGTTCCTGATGGTGCAGAAAGATTACCTCTGCTCGTTCTGCTACTTCTACCACTGAATCTCTCCTCCGACGCCTTCAACTCCTCCACCCTCCGAACCATTAATTTCGACTCTTGCCTCGATACTGCCTCCACCAATTCCCTGGGTATATCTTGACTTAATCTCAGATTGTCCAAAAGTAGGTAAGAATCCTCAGGGTCTAGGAATCCGCTCTTCTCCCACGAAAGAGATCAAGTGAGAAAGAGAACAAAATAAATGATACGAGTTAAATGACTGCTTATCTCACCCCAATTGATCCACTTGCGGGTTTTGGTGGTATTATGATCTGGGGCGTGGTAGGTGTCTTCTGAGGAATTATTCCGCTCGTAATTCCTCCCACGATCTCCTCAGACGGTTTCTCTATCACTTGCGCGAACTGCGCGGGTGTAGGGGGCTGTTTCGAAATACCATCTCCCACACCTTCGGATGGCTTTCCTGAACGACGATCATCCGGTGCTGTGGGTGCCCCTGGAGTCGACATGAATGCAGGTGCTATCAGTGTTGCTGGTGGTGTGTCCATACCAGCTGTTCTCACACCACCAATTCCACCTGCCAGTAATATCTCGTCTGATGCCTTCACCTCATCCAACCTTCCAGCCATCAATCCTGAGGGTTGACCTGGTGTTCCTGGTTGATTGGCTAATTCCGCCAGGATACCGGCCGACGGATATACCAGCCTGTCCGTCGACGAATCGGAATCCACGCCAGCGTAGAGTTGTTGTTCTCTCTTTTGCTGTGAAAGAGATTATGGGAGAAGGTGATGATGAGGAAGAATTCTTATTTCAAAGTAATAGTCGCTTGTTGCAGGGAAAACGCGTGTCCTAGAATCCAATTCATAACGGGTCAATTCTAGAATCACTAGGATTTTTCTCCTGCGAGCAAAGATTTTTTTTCCACTGCGAACGAACGACATGAATGATAGGAATTAAACAGCGGGATATCTCACTTCCAATAATCGTTTTATGGCTTTGTATATCATCACAGCTTCAGGCTCCACCCAATTACACTTATCACAGTTCTATAAAATCAAAATCAATTGATAAACAATTCGGACTGTTACCTTTACACGGTAACCCATACTTACCCGTACTAGTGCGTGGATTCTCTCAATATTAGTTTCCCACGTCTTCATTTCCGGAATCTCAATGCAAATATAATTGTCGGCGGTTTGAGTTTGGGCGTCAGATTTAGTTATTTTGGGTCTAGTCTGGGGTGCATGCTCGGATTGCTGGGAACTATCGAACACTAGCGGTGATGAAATCTCGCCTCCATGCCAGCTACCCTCCATGAGAGAAACAAATTGCATGTCACCAGCAGCTGACTGCTGCCAATCAGCATCAGCAGCATCAGTAGTATCAGCAGCCATGAGAGAAACAAATTGCATACCATGCGTTGCTGACTGTTGGGAGTCAGCATCAGCAGCATCAGTAGCATCAGCAGCCATGAGAGAAACAAATTGCATACCGTCAACAGCTGACTGTTGCCAGTCAGCATCAGCACCATCAGTAGCATCAGTAGCATCAGCAGCCATGAGAGAAACGAATTGCATACCATCAGTAGCTGTTTCAGCATCGTCGTACTGCGGTTGAACAATATCCTCTTGAACGGCTCGCTCAGTAAATTCGATAACAGCAGAAGTCTCTTTTGACTCTGTTGCAGCGACAGCATGAACCTCTTCATCAACGGTGAAATTGATATCATAAATCATTGAGACTTCCCTGAAAGTAACACCCGACAAGTCAAGATGTCTGGATTCACCGTCCGGTCCAAGGACAGCCTCCGGGGACTTCTCCCCGCTGACGGTGACTTCATCATAAATTACGGAAACATCCTTCAAAACCGGTGCAATGGACACCTCAACATCCCTGTACGTCAGATCGGTTCCCATCATCGCCTCCGCGGACTTCCTCTCGGTGTACGTCTTGAGTTCATCATTGCAACTGATGAGTTTGCTCTTAAGGCTCTCGACCTGATCCTCCAACTGGCAGATCCTGTCCGCCAACTGCTGATTAGCCAAAGACTTCACCTGCAATTGGCTCTTCAAACCATCCTCTCGTGACGCAATGCTCTCCTGTCGCTCCTCATCATTCCAAATCTGAGATGCAGCCTCCAACGCCTTCACATACATCTCCTGCCTCTTCTCCAACTCCTCCAGCTGCTTCTTACTGGCAGCCTCAGCCTTGACGAGCTCTTCAAGCTTCGTCAGGTACATCAGCTCATCGGGACCGATAGACGCTACAGACTCCGCACTAGTTGCTCTTCCCAAATTATCATATCTCGATACCTTAGCCTCCAGCAGCTTGACCCTCTCCTCCATCATCACCCTTGTTCTCCTCGCCTCTTCGATCCTCTCATTCTGCCTATCAACGGCTGTCTGCTTCTCATTGAGCAATTTTCTCGCCTCCTCAAACCTCATCATCGCCTTCTTGCGTTTTCCCTCTACCTCGCGTATCCTCACATCCCGGTGTTGACTCAGCGTTGAATTCGGACATAAACAAGACAACGTCATTCCAGCCACCTGTTTATCTATCACTCCAGCTATCTCATCAGCCTTGATGTCTCTCGTCATCATTCCCATCATGGTAACAGCTGGCATCCAACACTCAAGCATTTCCAAACGTCTGCGCAAATCTCTCTCCCGCTTCGACAATTCCGTTGTCTTTGTCTCTCGTTTACCGATGAGTTGACAGAACTCTGGACATCTCGTTGACACTTTGGTATTACATCTCGGTTCTTGTGCGGTAGCATCACCGTAGGGTGGTACAGTCATCTCGGTATCACCAACTTTTGCCATTTCCTTTAATTAAAGTTGGAATTGTTGGTGCGCCGGAGGTGGGGAGGCATCACACTGGGGGTTCTTTTTTTTTTAATCGAGGCTGGAGACGTAAGCACGCTTTATCACTGCATGTGGCTACCGTTGGGGGTTAAAAGTGGGGAAAAGAGGCAGACGTCGTACAACCCCTTGGCTTTATGTAGGTTAACTGTGACGTCACTGTTCAAACTGAAATATGCAGTGTGGCCTCAACCGTTCTACCAGCTTTTCAGCTTTTCCAGTGACGCGCGGATCTGGTCGTTGACTCCTTCTAACGGTCATTTTGTATTTAATGTCATTATTGACAGGGTATTATTCTTTTGCCAGAAAATTAATGGGATTGCTTTCCTTTTGAAGCCGGGCTAAATTAATGGATCATGACCTTTTTTCAAAATTGAATGTGACCGCTTTTGGAAAATTACAGCGAAAATTTCACGTGGAAAACATTAAATGTTTAATAATTGTTTATTGATGAGGCAATTCATTTCTTGAATATTATGGTGATTCGTAAATTACAAGCAATAATTTCCCGGAATTTTTAATTGATTGAAAATTCAATTATTAATGATTATTGACGAAAAAATCTTTTGCAAAAATACATCCTTCCGTCAACTCAATGAATCCTTGGAAAAATATTTTTTTCTCATCGCAGTAACTCCCGAAGTTTTCTCATTCTGTTCAACCCTTTCAGCTCCAGACTTTTCCTGGACTTCTCGAAATTTTCAGAAAAGTTTGCGAAATCCGGAAAAACGATTGAAGGGGAGAATGCCAATTTTTTGTAATGATCCCACAGAAAATTTATCAGAAATCCAAAAAAACCTTTTGAATAACGAAAAAAAAATTCCTTTCCAGTGGATCATTGACGTCTTTTACGCAGCCAATTGTAAAATCTCGGAGAAAGGATTTTTTTTTATTGAATTAGATTCCCCTCCGCAATTACCTTTTGTGGAATGAATTTTTCCACGATTTTCAGGGTAATTTTTATTTAACTTTTCTCTCCGTGCAGAACAGTCGAGTTAATTAATGTTTGCATTGAGATATGAATTCGCAGTACCTCAGGCGCATGTTTCAATGGTCATTTGCGAAGAAAATTCATTTCCGTAGAAACCCGCGGATTTTTCAAGAATTTCCCGCGAGTCCAAGGAAAATAGCAGAATTCCGCGTTAACGAGTAAATTCAAATAACTGGAGTAATTAAATGCCCCCGTTACTCCATCGACATCAAATATTTCTCATATTCATGTCAGAATTATTTGCAAACTCCTATTTAAATCAGGAACAAAAGATTAAATTACTACTCTGCTATTCATTGAACAACCAACTTGCAATATCAGTTAATTAATATTTTCACTGTAATATCCATTTCTAGTTTAATGTCGATATTTTAATGGTTGTGCAGTGGGAAAATACGTTTTCCTGACAGGAAAACCCAATGGAAATTTGGGATCCAGGACAAATAAAATTGGTCATTCGTTTTCCAATACATTTAATTAAAAGGTGCGTTATCATCTCTCAACGTCACGGGAGTGGATATCATTTTTGCCATAACAAATTCAATTATTTCACTGAAGTATTTTATAATATTATTAATTAATATCGGGCACTAGAGCTCAACAATACTTGCGTATGATAAAAAAATTATTTAAGTCTAATGAATAATGAATGAGCAATAAAAAGTTGAATAATAATTCTCGAATTTCCTCTCATCATCAATTATTATATCGATTTAAAAATTATTATGTTGTCTATTATTAATTAAATTCGTGGAAATCTTATTCAACTCGAAATTTCCTCCGTAAATTTCCCTCAGTCTTATGTTTTCACTGAAATATTACTCCCCGGTTTCATATTCGTATTTTAATGATCGCTCGCTGGGAAGTAAATTCACTCTGCAGGAAATGTAATTGAATATTTCGAGGGATGATAAAAAGGGTGATAATTTTGTAAACAATTTAGTCAGACCAGAAATTATTTTTCCTCCCACTCAGGCCCTTATTTGAATAGCACCTCCCCCCAATAGAACTAGAAACAAAACACCAGATTACCCCCTCCCCCCCATAAGTTTGAGTTAATTAATGTTTCAAACATAATATTAATTCCAGGCTTTCATGTTTATTTAACGATCGCTTCCTGAGAAAGTATTTCTCGTTAACTGGTAGTGGGAATTTAAATGAATTTTTAGGGCGTAAAATGAGTCGTTGTTTCCCAAACAATTTTTGTCGTGGCGTTATTGTTCGTTTTATTTATGTCACTTAGTACGGCAATTTAAGCCCTTATTTACCACACAATTTATGTTTAAATATGACATGATCGATTTTTCCCGGGATCTATTTTCGTCTCGTACACTCCCTTTCACCTCGAGTAGAAAAAAAAAACGCGTATCCGTCCTGATCAGACACGACGTATATGTCATGAGAGGCAGATGGGACAATTGCCAGCAATTTATTTATCAACAGCCGTCAATACCAGAATTCACGTGGACATGTTCATTCATTTTCTTTCGGCTCTGCACGATCTGTCATTTTTTTTTCTTTTTTTTCCTCTCCATGATTTTACCGCGGCGATTTTTTACGCAGCTTTCCGATAATACCTTACCACTAGGTCGTGGGCTTTGAAAAAAAAAAATTTATTTTATAACAATTTCGAGGGAAAATTACAGCTGCGAGAAATTACTGGACAAACCGGAAATTTACTCAGATTATCATTTCTGCTATTACAATATCAAATCTGACAGAATGGACACCCGAAATTCGACAGTAAATTATTTATAATAATGATAAATTACCGGTCATTTTTACCGTCGGTGCAAAAATTACCCGGAAATTTACTGGCGGTAATATTAATTGCGAAAACATTACCAGCTGAAATATTGCGGTCAAATGTTTCCCGCGAAAATTTCACCAACTGAAATATCCCCTGGGGAAATATTACCGATATCTAATCATTTCTGCGTATGTAGAAATAAATAACAATCATTATAAATAACAATACATAACAACACAAGTGGTAAAATATTTTCCTTGTCAATACTCTATCGTAATATTTCCCAAAAAAATATTTAAACATTTCCCCAAAACTCCGGTATAAATTCCGCAAATCTTCCCCTGAAGATTCTCCCCATAATTTTCAGTCAGAATTCCTCCGAGTTGTTCTTCAATAGTTGTTGATTACAGATTAATAAAAAAAAATCATTTCTCTCGAGATCGGTTAGCGGTTTATCAGTTGTGGATATTATTTGGCTTCCTGAAGGACATGACGAAGAAAACTACCAGTTTAGGATATGGATGAGGGATAGGCAGGTTTGATGGGCAAGAGGGAGGGGGAAGGGGGGGGGGCATTACCGAGAAGAAAGGGGGCCAGAGAGTGGGTGGTGGGTGGTAAGGGGAGGTAAAGTAGGTTGTCATGGAAACCTGAGGTCTTTGAGAGTTTGGGGGAATCGATGCGACAGTGGCGTAGCATCAGGTGGCGGCTTCGGATGTCCAACAAGTGGACTTACGTCTGTATTGAAAATAAAAAAATAATCACTCACCGAGATCATGCATTGTCCTTCCGACTAAAGGGATATCCCCTTGAGGCTGTTATCTATAAATATATGGAATGTCTCGCCAAAAGGCGTTTGTACTATTCCGATGGGTCATCACCTCGGGGGCTTCTGTTACAGTTTCATCAAATAACAATAAAATATTCCAGGAAAATAATTTATCGTTATTTAATTTGGGGGTGGAAATATTTTTACTGAACCCTGAATTAGGACCTATTTATTGGGGGGAGGGTTTGGCACGTGAATTATAATTTTAATAATTTATTTTTTTATTTATATCACAATAATATCCGGTTTTGACACCAACGAGAATAAACATTATTATTATTATTGTTATGCTCATTGTTTTTATAATAATATTTATAAAAATATACACAAAGATAATTAATAAAAATCATTTTTATTTTCATGAATTTTTTTTTCTGTAATTATTGGAGAAAAAAAATTTATTAAAATTGAATTCTAGCAGCAATTTATTAATAATTATCTTGGTTTTATTATTTTTATTATTATTTAGAAGTCATTGGTTTATTTCGGGTTTTTGGGAAGGGATTTTTCAGATCAATAATCTCCAGGTGGTGAAATGTATTTTTTTTTCTCAGTGAGTCTTGAATTTCGTAATTGTCCGTGGCTCGTCATAAACTCGTACAACATAATGTGCAGTAATAAAACTCAATCAATTCATTAATCAATTAAGGAAAGATAAGAGCAAAGTCATTGGAGTCAATGGTGGCAAATGATTTATCAGGATTCAGGGCAGGTTTTAATATTATGGGCATTTTTTTTTATGAAGATAATTGCAGATATTTTGGATCTCGTGTTTGTTGAGGATTCTGGGATTATTGATAAATTTATGAATGGACTTCACGTAATTTTGGATGAATTGCGGTGGGACTCGGATGATTATTCATCATTACATGTGTTGTGGGGATTTTCTACGAGTTTCATCGGATAATTCGAAAGATCTAGTTCGATTGATGTCACCGGAAATTGATGGAGAACGGAATCGAGGGAATCAATTACTCAATTTTTTTTTTCCTCGCGAACTCTCGTATTTCTAGGATGAAATTTAATATGGAAGTTTGAGGAGGCACTTCTGGAGTTATGATTGAATGTGGGGGGCTAAATAATTGGCATTTTCTCGCTTTTAGGAGCGAGAGACGAGCAAATTGTCATCACTTTCCGGACCCGGGGGAATTAATTGGTGTGACTTGACCTCGGGATAATATCGCAATGATGGCCTTCACTTAGTGAGACTCTCGAAGCCTCGGAAAATCGCTAATACCTTGATTTTTTTTGTTTCGTTGGACGAGGTGTTTTTTTTTTCTCGGTTTTCGAATTGGAGGGAAAATGTGTACGGGAGAATAAAAATAGGGGTCTTTTTTTTTTGTCAGATAGGAGAGGAACTATTCGTGTGTCTGGCGGCCTTGAACTCTTAACCC